CTTTAAAGTACATTATGATTTTATTTCTTTGCTGAATAATATTTGCAATCATTTGGTTTGACACTGTTTTATTCAAACTTTGATGAATATATAAAAGTAATGGTACTGATACTTAATTACTTTACCAAAAAAAGTACTGGTACTGCAGTACCGAGCTAAAATCTAGTACTGGTACTGGTAATGGTACTGCATAATTTGCCAAGTACTGGTACTTAAGTACTACACCCTTAGTACTGATGCAGCTCTGATTATAATGAACACATATTTTTCATTTTATTTATTTCAAAATGTACGACTCTACATAAAGATACGCATACATATAACACCATAAGGTCAAGTTTTAAAAATATAAAAAATTCACGTCAGAACACATAAAAAAGCCATTTCATTCGAACCTACAATTTTCAATTTAAAAGTAATCGAAAGTGTAACACTGTCTGAATCTAGTAAGGCAAGTGATACCTGTAATTGTTTGCATCATACTTTAAAATTCGTATGGTTTACATCGGAATCTAATAATCACCGACAAAAGGTCGTTGAATAGTCATTATTGCCAAACAATATGATAAAACTATATGTGTTTTTGACTTGATGATGTTTCCACTAGATCTTTTTTTTTACATCCCTATCAAAATTAATGGTATGAAGACTGAATCATTCGATTTCAAATTTTTTTTACACTTTTGTTAACATTATTTATTTAAACATGAAACTATTAGTAATATGATCATAGCTCAGAAACCCAACTGAATACAAAGCGTAATGGTAAATGTATGATAGAGAAACATTTATTTGACTTTTAAGTATCTTAATCCAAAAATCCAAAACTTCTTTTATCATTATTTTCTATCCTGCTTTGCATCTGGTCATGGCTTATTCATTTATATGGAAAAATAGCACAGTTAAGAACGTTTTCATATACATTTGAGACTGTCATATGTGAATTTACAAGGTAACTTTAGAAAAGATCACACATGACAGGGAGTCTCTTAAAACCGTCTCAAAAATGAAAAAAAAAACAGACAAAAAACAACAACAAAGAAACAAAGAAAAACAAAGAACAAAAACAAAGAACAACTATCTACCATTTTGACTTACATAACTGTGAGAAAGAACAATATTTAACCAATTGCAAATAAACATAGGTATTTTTAACAGCTTAAATATTGGATATTAGTAAAATCAGAATCCCTGTAAAACAAATATAATCACATGTATATCATGTAAAAAAAAAATTTGTATAAGATTTATATTGAATCATTATGGTACAAAATAAACTTGAATTTGATGCATTAAAATAATCATCATACTTTAAAAACATATTCATATCAAACGTTTTTTCTCCTAACCTGGAGTCAGCATTTTCCGGTAATATTTTAGCCATAAAAATGTGAAATAAAAAATAAATGATGCCTTAAAGATCTTCCATTAGCACACCAGAAAAATTACTAAGACCAGAAAAAGTACTCCTAGATATATGCTATATGGTGAACTTGGACGCTACCCTATTGAAATTATCATAAAGTCCCGAATGGTAAATTTTTGGAATAAGCTTATTCTTTCCAGTAACTCGAAATACTCGTTTAATTGTTATCTGCATATGTTACAATCAAATCATATATTTAAATGGCCTTCCTTTGTTAAACAAATCCTAGATTCAACTGGAAATTCCTACCTTTGGCTTAACCAACGCTCTCTTACTTGTAAGTTTTTAAATAAGATGGTCAAGCCTACCCTTGTTGACCAGTTTTTCCAGGATTGGTGCTCGAAACTTGAGACTTCAAGCAAAGGTCAAATGTACCATATATTTAAAGAAAACACATTGTTTGAGGAATACTTTTCCATACTCCCGAATTCTCTCCGACTTGCCCTTATGCATTTTCGCACGGGCAACCATAGATTCCCGATTGAAGTAGGCCGTTGGAGCCAGTCATTTATCCCCCACGAGCAACGTTAATGTAATCTCTGCCCATTAAATGACCTAGGTGACGAGTTTCATTATTTACTCGTCTGCCCATTTTTTAAGGAAAAACGAAATAAACTTTTAAATCGAAGATTTTACAACAATCCAAATATCATTAAATTTAAGGAACTGCTTGCCACTAATGACCGAATACAGCTGACAAATCTCGCAAAATACGTAGCATTCACTATAAAGTTTTTTAAGCGATCGTAAAGTTTATTATCTTAATTTCATATGATTATGCATCAGACTTTAGAAATATCATAGGTCAATGTTGTTTATTAATATAAGTACTGCAAGTTTGATTTGCTGTGTAATATATGTATACCATGGCAGGCGTTAAAAAAGTATGCATAAACTTAGACAAAAACAGCAACAATAACAAAAGCAATTTGTATCACTTATTACACTCATCGGTATATAATTCCATGTACGCGCACTTCTTACGATTCAACAAGTACATTAAATGCCACTGATAAAATCCCATCCGAACGAAATTAAGCACACTTCCGGCCCTATTTTGTGTAATCATCCAGGTCAAGTGAAATAAACATTGATTTAATGAACGCGTGAATAAATGACCAATCAAATTCGATTACATCGGGAAATCCATTTAGGTCATTCCTTTAAATTATTTATATAATTGGTAACCTAATACTAAATATCTTTCATCCAACTATATAGTATTTTTCGCTTTTCATAAGCGCATGTCGTAAATGTAATTGTAATTTTTTAAACCACGCCTTAAAAATTATCTATGAATGGAAATCACGATTCTCGTGCTCGAACGAAATGGATAGTAAAGTTGTAGTAGTTATTTTCCCACGGCAAAATGATTTCACTTCGCACCATGATAGCAAAATCTTTTTATGCTGTATTTTTTGTTCTAACTGTTTTCCTATTGCTGTAAATTTCAAATAGTACTTCTGTATGTATAGGTGTGTGTGTGTGTGTGTGCGTGTGTGCGTGCGCGCGTGTGTGTTGTTATGTATGTGCGTAACAAATATATTATTTCTGTTTGTGCGTGCGAGTGTGTGAATTTTATATATATATATTAGCACTTGTGTTAAAATCTTATAATATTTACCTATGAAATTTGTATGTTGATAATATCCACTTTCCCCACATGAAACTTAAATTATGATACCCATTTAATATTGATATATATATACTTGTACACATGTAATTACAAAATGTCACCTTGTAATCTGTGCCTCTCAAATATAGATTATGTTCTGTTCTGTTCTGTTCAACATTAAAAGCAATCTGACAGAAATCTGAATCCAGTTTGCTTAGGTCAAAATGTACATTACACCTCAATTTGATAACACATTGATTGTATCATGCTTACGAGTAGGGAGTACACTCTACGTCAATTGTAACCTGTTTACATGTAATCCGTGTAATTGAGTGTTGATTTTAGAGTGCTGACTACTGGATAATAATTGGATTTTATTATTTTGGCCCTCTGAGTGTTAAAACAGGTATTATTTATCTGATAAACGGACAATTAAAAGGTGTGAAAGTCGCTTTAATCAGACCAGACAATTAGGGTCGCTTGTCACATATGGCAGGGAGTCGCGTGTGTGTGTGTGTATGTACGTGCGTGCGTGTGTGTGTTTATTTAACTAGCTACCGGTTGCCCTTATGCGAGACCTCCAGAAGAGTGTTAGTCATTTCATATTTTGGAGGATAGTGCAAGATACAGATACAGAAAGATGCCCCAATTCCAGAAGCTTCCCTTGGTTCTTTAACGTGCCAAGTGTTTAAGCAGTCATACACGGGATCTCGATTTTAAGTCTTATCCGAACGACTGATTAGTAATTTTAGGTGGCCAGCCCGGGAATAGAACCCAGAATGTCGAGATAACAAGTCTCGCGCTCTAACCGATTGAGCTATAGGGGCTGGCACAGGTAGTCGTATAGTTAAGACCTTTTATATAGGGAAATACGTTAGGAGGACTGAAACAATGTTAGATAAGACAGAGAGTCGTTTAAACCAGTGGGTCGCTAAGACAGTCTCGACTGTATCTGCATAAAGATTGTAACTTAATCAGAAACCTTAGCAATTCCAACCAAAATATTCAAAGTAATAGGTACAAATATTACTTAAACAATTTAAGTTATTCTGCACAATTAATAAACCGACGTACAGAAACAGTTGGACGTCGAGAGTGGTACTAAAAAGATAACAGAGTCTAGGTAAGAGACTGAAATGTATGTACAAGTTTTACATGTATTTTAAAGTTAAGAAGGTGTTTTGATATTGATTGTAGCATTTAAGGACAGCTAAATTAAAAAAATAGCATTTATCCTTGTAAGGAATACATAAGCGTACATAGTAACATATCTGCTATGACCAAACGTTTTATTAAATTTTGATAAATTATCAACAATACCAGCATGAAAGATATATGTTTAATTTTTCCTTCTGTGGTGCCTGCACGAAATTGTTGCTGAACGGTTAAAATCGTACTAAAAGAGCAACACCATATTTTGTTAAATGTTTAACAGAGACCTAATATGTTACACTCTTTCGAGAATCTACCAAACGATTACGGAAACAAAATTATCTTACCGTTTATAAATTTTATTTTGAAAATTCGTTTGATATATGTCTATTTATGTACATTCAATTAAATATCAATTTTGAGTGCATTGTTGTAGAATAATGAACGGTTCGAAGTTCAGGAGTATAATCTCGAAGGCAAATAGACCTTCGTGATTAATAACAAAGCATTTGAACGATAAACCATAAACTTTGTTTCAAAGCTCTAGCCTTATGTTAAGAATTGTTATCGAATCTTTAGATCCGTTATTAATATTGCTTTTTTAACAGAATAGTAACGCCCTTTGTTACATTGGTTTATTTCTATATTTTAACGGTCGTTTTTTATTTTGAATTTTCTTACGAATAAACAAAATATTTATTATCAGCCCCTTCCTAATACATCAGTAGAAGAGGTCAAGATGTTGGCTACAGTCTTGTCAGTAGTTTAAAAAAGTTTAAATCAATGAAATCGATTTTGTTATTATAGTTCAAACCATGATGAGGCATTGGAAAAGAAAGCGTCTGAGACAAATGCATTGAAGAAAGAAGCCGTATACCTTATAAGTAAAGTGGAAGTCATTCAAAAACAGTTACTCATAGCCAAGTAATTTATACATCTGTCGTTATTTGGAAAATTTATTATGTTTAAAAGAGAACAATGTTTGGTACATGTATTGGCATTAAATGGTTACGCATTTTACATCGATATGTTCATTTTAAAATTCAATGTGTTTCTTGTTATTTAAAACAATTAAATATTAATAATAAATCTGAAACAAAGAAAGTTTCTCCAAGCTAACATGATTAAGTAGATTTTGTCCTTCATCATGTAATGATAAGATTTGTATATTACTCCCGTTTGTAACTACATTGTACTTTACATAGGCACATAACAATACATTAATTGGTAAAGACTGTTACGTGGAAATGTATATTCAAGTGTAGATAAAACACTTTTTCTTATTTAAAAAAACCCCATTGTAACGGTGATTCCCTTTCATTACTCTAAAGAAAATCAATTTGGTTGTTTTTAAATGAAATATGTTTGATGATATTCCTATCGTGTGATATATACTTGGCACTTGCATTAGATAAATGTGCCAAAAGTGAAATAATTTTATGATAAGGCAAATCGTCTTTTCAAACATTACAATAATAGTGCATTGAACAATGACAACAGGCATTTCATAACCAATGTAGACCGTAATTTATGACACCAAGATAATCTACTTCAATCTATCATTTGGCACATCATAATATTGTATTGGACACTTTATTTGTTTAATCATTACTATATCCGAAAGCGTTGGGTTTTTTTTCAGCAAAGTTGTGGAAGAAAAGGAGAATAAAATTCAAGAAATGATAAAAGAGAAAAGAAACATTGTAACTAAGAAAAGTAAACTAAAAATGAATGTGAAAATATCGGGCATCAGATAATAGTGATTACTGCTTTTAATGTTTGTGATATCTTTAATAGCATTAGCAACCAGTCTGTAAATAATACTTATAAGGACTTTCTAGTGTGATTATCTGTCCTATCTGAAAGTTTTTATTTTATTAAAATGGTTTTACTTACAGTGAAGAAGTTAACAGAAGAGGAGACGAAATACGACGGCTGAAACAGACATTTGATTCAGATAGGAGGTTTGTCACTTATCCCACTTAAACTACATCCACGCTATAATAATTATTATTACAAATCAGTCTCTAAAAAATAGTAATCAAAGCATTTGAACCATAAACATTGAACTATTATACATAATGCAGGAAACAATAATAATTATTTCCATTCTATCATGCTGATAAAAAAGAGAATTAATAACAAATTTTTTTAATAAGATTTAGCTTAAAAGTGTTTTTCCTGACGTCATTTGGTTTATTGACGTCTAATATGACGTATGATGTGTTAACATTCCTTTTTATGCTGTGTATTTATCGTATAATATTGCACTTAAACACCCTCTTTGTTTTAGGGGAATAGTCTGAAGCATGTTAGAATAATATATAGATTTATAAACGTATTCTAGAAATAATGAACAAATTCATCAGTATGTCAAATGGCATCTTGCCATCAAAAGCATAAACTTCATTGAATACAACTTTCTGCGAAAAAGCAAAAATCAGAATTGATAACAACATGAAATAAATATCAACAGGTATATAATACCAAGTTTGAGTTAAATTTGCACTGTATAGTACTTCTTATTTTTCAGTGCATTCAACGAACTGCAAAAAGAAAATGGCATTCTCGAAAATTAAGATTGCTTTTTTGCATAATCTTTTTTGTTTAAGACAGAAGTTATTTTACAATATCTGGAACTCTCATTTTTTTCCATTTAATTATATTTATTTTAAAATACAATTTTCTGCGAAAAGCAAAATCAGAATTGATAACAACATGATATAAATATAAACAGGTATATAATAATAAGTTTGAGTTAAATTTGCACTGTATAGTACCGATTTATTTTTCAGGGCATAAATCGAATTGCAAAGGGAAAATGACATTCTCAAAGAGTAAGATTTTTTTGTTGTCTAATCTTTTTCTTTTTCCTTTAAGACAGACGTTATTTTTAACAATATCTGGAATTCTCATATTTTTTTCCATTTAATTATATATATTTCTAAAGATTTTACTGTTTTAGAAAATATACACGTATCTAATGTGACAAGTGTATTTTAGAAGCTTAATTTTTAATTACATATATAATACGGTTGAAACTACTTTAGAGATATGACTGTAAAATGGAAAATTGGTCAAATCCGTAGTCAACATAACAATTAACAAAATTAAATTCACTGAGTGCAGTGTCATATCCACTGGATGAATTGGGTCTCCCAAATCTAAAAATAGACTGAGACTCATATACACTGACCATACATCGTAGACTGTTCATTAAACATGCGCATAAAAATAACTGTTGCATTTTTTTATTTATGGCATATTTCGCGATTAAAATATCATTTCTTTACTTTATCACATATCCTTGCCGGTTATGGCAACTCCGTAATTATGGTATTGCACGGCCGTGCATATATTTTGACGTGACGTCATTTGCGTTATATACATATAACATAGCGTAAAGACGTGCAAAATGCCAGCATTATATTATAGGCGCATGAGTGAAAAATAGTTCTTTTTCACTTCAAACCGTCTTTATTTTTGGTTTATTAAAATAGAATATAAAATTTGTGTAAGTTCATTACTGAGTTTATTGAACTCGTTCAATAAATTCAGTATTAAACTTATACTATTTTAATATCCTCTATATATTTGTTTAAAGTTACATCGCAATTATGAGTAGCAACATTAATTACTTCTGTTTGCGCAGTATTCGCGTAGTCATTGAACTCGCCCGACGTCTGTCATTTTTTTCTGCTCTTCAACGAAACAGGCAAAAGTGTTATAAGACCGTTTTTGTGATTAAAAGAAAAATTAGGCTCTTTATAATATAAAACAATTATTGACTAGTGAGTCATTGAATTTGTTGTGAAATACACCTGCAGAAAGTCATATTGAGGTGAATATCACATCATATTCAATGGCTCACTAGTCAATAATTGTACAATACGAGCTTATCTGAGGTTATGTTTAAATGTTGTACAATTTTATGAAATAATGATTTCCCTTTTGGTATTGTCTCATTATGTATACATTGAAAACATTCAAGTATACTTCGGCATTACCTGTATTTTTAAGTTAAATCCGGCTCGTGCGTTTTATACAGTGACGTGCCATTTTCATATTTTGCGAAAAAAAGTCATATTTATGATAAAAGACCATTAAACAATTAAACGATGTTTTATCTTTAATATTGTGTTTGTATCGTTCGACACATATTTGTTTTTTAAATCTCTTATTATAGTACATTAATTTCATTACCTTTTTTAACTATCCGTGTATCATTGTCAAATATATTTAAATAAACACTTTCCGGGAATATCAACGCATGTTTAAAGTCATATACATGTATAAATAACATTTAATTAAGAAACGATATAATTTAAATACTTAATTATATTATTATGAAAAGGTTTTTATAATGGTTTTGATTATTCATTTAATCTAAATTCAATGTTAATGGACACATATGTGAGCAATGCACGACGTTGATCATTAGCCATTATTTAATCTAAAGCCATACAATTAATGATATTTGAAAAAGGTATTGGCAGCCGACCAAAAGATTAAAAATTTGCAAAACGAAGTCAGTCGTGTATACTCTGAAGCGAACTGTTGTTGTCTACTACAAACTTTTCTTTCGAACGTTTGTAAAATTATATTGTATAAAAAAACAATAGACATGATTTGTGATTAAAAATATGCTTGAGGACTTTTATAAATCATTCATGTTGATGTGTTGCGTAATGATATTTTGGATTAAACACATATTCAATTCATTAGAAATCATGTCTTTTCAAATGTGAAACAACAAATCAGTCATCCGTAAATGAAACATTTAAAAGGTGATTTTGATTGTATAGTTAATTGTAAATCAATATGTTTAGATTATTTAAAGACTTTCAGTACGTTTAATCTCAAATATAACTGAACTTTAGATAAAGCATTCAGAAGGAAATGCGAATTATAACGCTGATAAAAGGTTTGTGACTGTTTAAAAGCTATCGTTAGATTTGTTATAAACATTGCATATAGAACAGAATAATAACGTCCTTGATTATTATTGATATATATTGATAGGTTGTTGTTATTTTGATGTTTTTCTTTATTAAAATAATTGATAAATTGATTAATTTAAAACTTTCCTTGAAAGTAATTTTAAGAATGGTTTTGTCCATGCTTTGCTTTATGTCCTGTCCTGTTTTTGTTACGTGTCCTGCTGGGCTCCTTGCCGGTGGTCCTTTGTCTATCGAAGGAACAATTCAGAGCAATGGAAAATGACATTGAAACGCTAAAAGAGGAAAACGAAAAAATATTGATATGAAGATTCAGTAAGATATAAAAAAATGTTATAAGTGTTTTCTATGTCTTAATCATTTACACATTCAAATTAACCATAATGATGATGATCAAATGCATAAAAATAAAGGT